ATATTAATGACAATAAACAAATCGATACATTTATGTCAACTTTTCAATGCACTCAGGATGAGCATTCAAAAATGCATGTGAGGTAAAAGTGAAAAACAATTAGATACATATTCAGCAATTCAAAAGTGTATTCTATAACAAGCGTTCGGTCAAATAGTGCTCCTATCAGCTGCTGTACTATAATGTTACCACAACGCTCCCTCGTGTGGTTTAAACGCTCCCTTCATCTTCAGCGGAGGCACTGAAAGAACTACAAGTACCAGAGCGTTGTGCTGCCATAGCAACAGAACCAACTCGCCTCACTACTGTCCAGATTTTACCGTGACCGTTTAATAGCGTTGTGTTGATAAACACAGAGAAAACGAATCGTTTTAAATATAATACAGAAGCATTATACGAGCGAAATGTCTTTCAAAAATGGACAGGTGGAAAACATTAAGTTCCCCTGGTAAGTTGCACATTTTGCGACAGCAATTTATTTATTTTTTTCATTAATTCCAAAATCAGTTATAAGTTATAACTAATGTGTTACTTACTTTTTAAATTAAATTGTACTAACTTTTAACATGGAAAACTAGGGATTTAAGAAGACTATTCCTGTTTCCCTTAGGCTGTTCAAAACGTTTTAAATATTAAACGTTATAGCTAATTTTCAAGTTTCTCCGGGGCAATGTTTTTTTTCATCCTGTTAGGTTCAGTCCTGTTTGTACATTTTCTTGCCAGTGTAAGATCCTGAGGCCATTTAGGATTACATCACTTGCTCCACAATGGATCCTCTGCAGTGAATGGGTGCCGTCAGAATGAGAGGCTGATAAAAACATAATCCACAAGTAATCCACACATCTCCAGTCTATTAGTTAACATCTTGTGAAGTGAAAAGCTGCGCTTGTATTGCTTTCTCCAGTGAAAAAGTTGTCTGGTCTGAATCAGGAGAGAAATATGCAAATATTAAGCACCATTTACAAGCGAAAACAGTCCAAAACAATTCTTAACAAATATGTTGGTAATTTTGATGTGAGAGGACAACAGCGGATGGAAAAACTTCACTGGAGGAAGCATTATTATGGACGTTATATCGCTTTTTGGAATTGTATTATGGAAGTTAAAAAGTCTTGATTGATTTGTTTATTACAAACATGCACTGGAGTGTGGATTACTTGTGGATTATTGTGATGTTTTTATCAGCTGTCTGGACTCTCATTCTGACGGCACCCATTCACTCCAGAGGATCCATAAGTGAGCAAGTGATGCAATGCAAAATTTCTCCAAATCCAAATCAAATTTATCCATTTGTTATTTATTTCAGCCAGTTTTTTTTTTTTGGGTGAACAATTTCTTTAAGTGACAGAGTTCATCTGTTACTTACTGCACAAAAGGAATGACAACAAAAAATCTTGTCTTTGTCTTCAGGTTTAAGGAACGGCTAAAAACAAAATATCTCAGGGATCTAAGGCAAAAGCAACAGTTATCTGGGTCATTAGATAGTCGCAAATGGCGCTTTTTGTCCCCGGGCCTGGATGATTTTAGAGATGGTTACCCAACAGTCCATAAAGAGCTCTTCACCCAGTGTAAGAGTGGACCCTCCCCTGCAGTCTTTGGGATGCCAAATCACGCTTGTTCAGTGAAGTTCCCACAGAAGAGACTGAGTAAAAATCAAGTGTGTTACTCAAAGCAGAATCCCCAGAGTCAAGCTCAGCGTGAGTTCATTGGCGCTGTTGAGTACAAACTCAAACAACACCCCCTGGCCCTCTATCCTCATCTGGAGAGCGGTATGACACCAGAGGTAACCACGTTTAATTGTAGTCATTATGATTTAATTATTTTCTGCATGTAAATAAGTACACTTCAACTCATGTTAAAGTTGCTGTTAATCATTTTTTTAAATACCACTTATAAAATCCTATTAGCTGACAAATATCACTGAAGCTGGCCACATTTTGAGAAACGAATTTCTGACACCCAAAACAGATAAATGAATCAGAACATGGGCTGCGCATATTTAGCCAATCAGAGATTTTGAATATTTAAAAAATTGTGAACATTTATTATTTGTGTTATTTTACCCTCATATTAAACCACAAAAACTAAGTGTTGCAATGGGGTTTCTAGTACAGTTGCTTAGGTAGTGACAGTAAATTTGACAACTTTCTCTCTTCTGACTGGTGTAATTAATTTCTATATATTTTTTTCCTCTCTTGGAAAGTGATGGAAATTAAACAGTGGCTTTCTCCTGCCCCTTTTTTTATGTTTATTTTGAGCAACCATGAACATGTGAAGAGAGTCTACTGGAAGCTGGGGAGTTTTTGGGAAACCGGTTTAGAAACAGTCATCGTTTTGCGATTCCATTGGTGCTGCTAGTGCTGCAGAAGCCTCTAACAGCAGCAGCTTTAAATATGAGAGGAGACAAAGTATAGTCCATGGAATATCAATTGCAATGTACAGTATAGAAAATGCATCCAGATGTATTCAACTTTTTCTCAATAGCTATTTGATCAGGTGTTGTCAGTCCTGGATCCTGATATGTGCATGAAAGCAGAATTGTCCATAACCTCTCCAATGGAGCATCTAGAAGAAAGCAGTGCACAATGTGAAATCTCAACTCCGGAGACTATAAAACCGTCCATCACCATCAAGTGATTTTCCTTTTTTCTTCTTTTGAGCACATGTTTTGGTTCTGATCCCATTCCAAAATGATGAGACGGGCCACACTTTTAAGTTAAAGGCAGTATTCCTATTTTAATGTCAAATTTATTTTGATGGGTGACCAGATATTACACAAGTACATGTTGTATATACTGTAATACCATTCCTGATGCTCTTCTTACGTTTCCCTAGACCACAAAAGGAGAAATGTAAAGAGGCCACACCAAGAAATCCTTATAAATGGCAGAAACTCAAAGAAACTTTGGGTGTTGAAGATCAGACGGCGAGTGTTAAACACCTGCACCCCGTATCGCAAGAAGATGACAAGCAGATGATTACCAAACTCTTCTGTGAATGGATTACCTCACTGGTAATATTTCTTCATGTACACATTAAAGTGCATGGATCAGATATGAAGCCTAAAAAGTTATTTAACCCGTTATCTCAGGGTGGAGAGACCAGTGATCTGACAGAGTCAACCATCTTGGATCTGTTTAAGAGTGACTATGAAAAGAAACCCTCCTTGACCTTGCCTATTAACAAGACTCATCCTAATCAAACTCCAGCAAAACTCTCCAGCTCTGTAGAGGGACATCATAAAGACGCTAAAGGGTTAAATCAGGTTGGGGACAATGTTTTGGTCCTTAATGTTTCAATTTTGTGTTGTTTGCCCCAAATTGTGGATCAATAAGTCTTGTTTATGTTTGTATGGCAGGCCAATAAACCCAATAGACCCCAGGCTGCCAATGATCCTCTAAGAGCCCCAGCAGATATCACAGGAAGCCTGGACTTTGAGGAACAGCTGAGTGAGAAGGTGACTTTTAGAGCATCTTTTAGTTATAAAAGGAGCAAATAATGTGACAGCTGATGAGGAGACAAACCAGTTCCATTTATATTTTACTGTCATCTAGGATGAAGAGCTGAAGCAGATTCACGGCATTCAGGCATTCAGAGAGTTCATTATCAACAAGGGAGTGAGAATGCCAAGGGTAATGCTTTCACATTCAACTGAATTAATAGCTGGATATTATATGAGATTCAATTTGAATTATGTTCCTTGTAATTAAACATTATTATTCATTATATAATAAGAAATCATTATTTTATTCGTGTCCCATGTGTAGTTTCTCAGCACGATCTTCTCTGAGGATGAACAGAAGAACAGGATCAGAGGCTCAAACACCACAGGCTCCACTTCATCATTGTCTAAAGGGAGAGCTGTCCATTAAACTCTTTAAATAATATTCCCTTATGTTGTTTTATTGAACATCACTTCACACATTCATGGATCAGCTGCTGAGTGCAGTTGCCCCAGACTACAGTTTTTTTTAGATTAAAGTAACATTTTACCCCCAAGACAGATTTTTGTATTATGTTATTTTACGATCAAAAAAATAAAACTAGGGCATATTTGGCATGGTTCTCTCTTCCTCTAGTTTTCTTCATTCATTCATAAAATGTTCAGTGAAAAACAAACACCGTGTTCTCAGCATCCTGGTGGGAATTACAAGGGCTTTCTAAGGATTTTTAGGTAAACAGCCTGAAGTCTGCTCTCATACATTCTGCCATGCTAATGAGCTGCACTTGTCCTCTAGTGCTTTAAGGAAGAGAAATTTCATTTAAAAAATTTAATTCTTCATTAAAAACTAAATATTTTGTTTTAGAAGTCCTCTTTTATAATATATACCACTCTAACATCTACAGACCTTCCTGTTGCTAAGCTCCGCTTTCCTTAGCTACGGCTGCTAACTCGGACGAGCTTGTCTGTGAACAGCATCAGCAGCAAAATTTGCTTGTAAAATAGTAAATATTGACTGCATATTATTCTAACATGGTCTGAAATTAATACATTTTTGTGTCTGATATGTCCCGCCCTGTCTTCCTGTTTCAGTGGAAATTACGTAAACACAAAAAACGGAATAATGCTGCACGTTTCAAGGCATTTTAGTGGGCCTTTAAAAAAGATTTTAAAAACAGGGCCTAGCAAAGGCTCAATTGTTAGCAGGTGAGTTAGACTGGCTTCTGACTTAAAGCGATGCATGCTGGTTAGAAATGTTACTGTGTCATTAAGTATGGCCTCACTTTATTGGTATTTTAATATTATCAGCATGTTATGAACTTTTTTTTTTGGTACATACAGGGGCTGTATTAAGCAGCGCATAAAAATGTTTTTATTTTCTACATTTAAAATTCAAATGTCTGTTTAGCTGACAAATATTATATCTAATCCACTTTATTTGCAATGAAGAAAGCAAACAGTGAGAGCGTCACTATATGTCGGTTTTGACGACTCAGTCACGCCTATTGAGACTAAAATCCTGTCATTCTGACCATCATCCTTCAGATGAAGATAGCTTCTACGGCCTGTCCAGCTTGATTTTCTGAGATGCCTGTCCTGTGAGCTCATCTTGATTGTTGGCAGCTGATAAAAGACCAATAAAACACAGCGAGAACAAGTGTTCTTTAACAATGTCTCAATACACTAATGACAAACAGCTGAGAACATTGTATAAATTTTCAAATGCTATACTTTATACAGATTAAGTGATGGAAAAGTACATAGTGGAATAACAGCAGGAGGGCATGGACAAGATCTATAATCTCAGTATGCCGTTTTCCTGCCATTATCCAAAACGCAGAACAACAAAATGATGGCCATACACTGGCTCTCTGTAAAGAATGTGAATGAATCCAGTCACGTAGGATGTGGTCTTCCGCCCTTTATTTTATATACACTTGGTCTAGTTCTGCTTTTTCCTGAGGTAACACTGTAGGCGGTGTAAAAACATCCTCATTTTAAATATCAGCAGTGCTATGAATGGGTACGGATGTCTATATTTGTATTTAAGCGTAAGGACTTTCCTGAAATTTTTTCTCAAAGATTTGATCTCAGGGGCCAGTCCTGTGAGGTTACTGAGGGCAAATCTGAGTGCTCAGCTAAAAGAGTTGATAATTTTTCATTTAAAACGAGGCATTTCTGTGTGTGTGTGTGTGTTTGTACAGTACCATGCCCATCAGCTCCCTCCAGTGCTCTCAAGGAACTGTTGGCCTGGTCCAGCTCAGCCCGTACAGTCCTCAGCTGGGTCTTGAGTTTCAGGTTCTCTCGTTCCAGCTCACAGATCTTACTGCAGAGAAGCTCATTCAAAGCTTTCTGATGAGTTTCTGGGGGACAAAGTAAAAAAAAATGTCAGGGTGATACTGACAGAAAAAAAGCCTCATTCAAAGAATGAAATTATTGAAAAGAAAACATTATCAAGCAGTTTGGGATCATTTTTTGTTATTAATTCTTAGAAAATATTCACTACTGTTCAAAAGGGTTTGGGGCCAGTAAGATTTTGTATTTTATTTTGTATTTAAGAGAAGTCTCTTTTGATTACTAAGGTTGCATAATTTTTTTTCTATTTAAAATACAGTAAAACATATGCAAAATATTATTACATTTTAGAATAACTGTTTACTACGTCAATGTATTTTAAAATATAATTAATTTCTGTGACGGCAAAGCTGAATTTTCAGTAGCCATTACTCTAGTCTTCAGTGTCACATGATCCTTCAGAAATCATTCTAATATGTTGTTGATTTGTTAATCAAGTCAATTTCTTATTATGTTTGTTGACATTTTTCGTGGGAAATAAGATTGAAGAACTGATTGATGATAAATAGAAGTTTCAAAAGAATATGATTTATTCTAAATAAAAATATCAGATGATTTAAGCTTAAAACAAGGTTAGCTCAGGTTGTAAAAGTGGAGCCACTCACACAAAACTTTTATGAATTGATAATTCATGACACCTGTTTAAAAAAATACCTTGAAAAATGTTACTGCAAAAAACTGTAAAATATTTTTTTATTCACTCACATGGATTCAAGGTAAAAGGAATATGTTAATACTTTTTATTTGATAAATTTTTTTAATTTAGTCTTTTCTTAAAATATACATATTTTTAATTGTGGATACTATGGATGTTATATATCACTGACCCAGATGACATTTGCTTTGAGTTTTTGTTTCTGCCAAATAATGTATACAATAACAATTCAATAAAAGCAAGAATGGTAACACTTTATTTTAAGGAGTCCTTGTTACATGTTACATGTACTTATTATTATAATAACAATTAATTATACATAATTACATGCAAGTTTCCCTAAGCCAAACCCTAATCCTAACCCTAACCATATAGTAAGTACATGTAGTTAATTAATATTACTCAGTACTTAAAAGTATAATTACACTGTAACAAGGACACTTTAAAATAAAGTGTAACCACAAGAATTACATGTTCAAATTTTTAGGGACACTGTACTTGTTCAACACACACTTTAAAGTCAGTTGATATCAGGTCTGCGGTTTGGGATTTCGATGAATCTGTGTTTGTACCTTTCAGCTGGGTAAGCTGCATACGCCGAACTCCCAGCTCAGCGGTCATCTGCTGTTTCTCTAAACTAAGCTGATCAACATTGCAGATCTTTTCTGAGAGCACAGCATGCTGACAGGCCTTCTCTCCTTCCATTATGCTGAGTCTGAGCTCTGCCTGTCTCAATGCAGCCTGTTAAACCAACCAGTATAGAGTACGGATGACATGCAAGAAACACTTATGAGAAGAAGTGCAATATAAGACACTCAGCTTGGATCAAAGGACATATTTGTGGAATATATCTTCATAGCTCTTCCTGTTCCAGCCATTCAGCATCAACAATGCCCAAATTTGAACAGAAACTACCTAATAGCTAAGGTATCCTATATCGTGAATTAGTTGTCACAGTCTAAGTTCTATAAAGATTCTTCCCTAAATTTCCCCACCTTCAGTTGCTGATTCTCCCCTATGAGCTGCTCGATCTGGTTAGTCAAATACGGTTGCGAGTCCACAGTGCAGCTGTGATTTGGGACAATATGCAGGACATTTTCCAGTTCTGCGCTCATCATCTGGTCATCTGCCTCTGTCGTCATGACCTTCAGCAGACCTTGAGCCTCTTCCAGCTGGACATGGACCTGCTGCACTTCATGCTGCTTCAACAATGCCTGCAGATGACTTCTCTCCCACTGAAATACACATAACAAAACTGAAATTAAAGCACTTGATAGCCCAAAAAACTGCCTTCATTCTCTGAAGAACCAGCTGTTCTCAAACGGTGGAAAAAGACAATTATAAGCAATTAAAGGAATAATTCACCCAAAAATGAAAATTTGCTGAAAATTTACTCAACCTTAGGTCATCCACGATGTAGATTAGTTTTTCCCCCCATCAGAACAGATTTGGAGAAATGTAGCATTACATCACCTCTACAGTGAATGGGTGCCGTCAGAATGAGATTCCTAACAGCTGATAAAAATATCACAATACTCCACAAGAAATCCACAACGTCAGGCAATCAAATGAGAGAACAAGTGTTCTTTAACAATGTCTCAATACACTAATGACAAACAGCTGCGAACATTGTATAAATTTTCAAATGCTATACTTTATACAGATTAAGTGATGGAAAAGTACATAGTGGAATAACAGCAGGAGGGCATGGACAAGATCTATAATCTCAGTATGCCGTTTTCCTGCCATTATCCAAAACGCAGAACAACAAAACGATGGCCATACACTGGCTCTCTGTAAAGAATGTGAATGAATCCAGTCACGTAGGATGTGGTCTTCCGCCCTTTATTTTATATACACTTGGTCTAGTTCTGCTTTTTCCTGAGGTAACACTGTAGACGGTGTAAAAACATCCTCATTTTAAATATCAGCAGTGCTATGAATGGGTACGGATGTCTATATTTGTATTTGAGCGTAAGGACTTTCCTGAAATTTTTTCTCAAAGATTTGATCTCAGGGGCCAGTCCTGTGAGGTACCTTAGGTCATCCACGATGTAGATTAGTTTTTCCCCCCATCAGAACAGATTTGGAGAAATGTAGCATTACATCACCTCTACAGTGAATGGGTGCCGTCAGAATGAGATTCCTAACAGCTGATAAAAATATCACAATACTCCACAAGAAATCCACAACGTCAGGCAATCAAATGAAGTAAAAAGCTGCATGCTTACAAAAGAAAAATCCATAAAGACGTTTATATCCTCAAACTGTTGCATCCAGCTAAAAATACAAATGCTTTATCCATAATATTATTTTCTCCAGTAAAAAAAAGTCATCACGTCTGACTCATATTGGTCCAAAATAGTTCTAAAAAATTGCAGTTTTTCACTTCACAAGACATTATTGATGGGCTGGATTACTTGTGATATTTTTTATCAGCTGTTTGGACTCTCATTCTGACGGCACCCATTCACTGCAGAGGACCCATTGATGAGCAAGTAATGTAAAGCTAAATCTCTCCAAATCTGTTCCGATAAAGAAAGGCACTCATCTACATCTTGAATTAGTAAATTTACAGCTTTTTTGGCAAACAATTCCTTCAATATAATTGTGCATAGTTAGGAGGATGCAAAAAATAAATAACAAATAATCCGCCAATCAACTTTTAAAAGGGAGGAGAAAACACTTTTGTCTATAGTATTGAGTTCATGGTGATATTTATAATTTAGTTTTATTTTAAGGAGCTCTTTGTTTACTTTTGTAGGATAAGCAACTTTGCTACTTTGTTTAGTAGGCATCTTCATCTTCAATGAAAAACTTGAAGCAAAACCGCTGCTATAAACAATATGAGTACAGATGATGTCGCCTTGTGTCAACAGTCATGTGTCAAGTTAAGAATGAAGAACATATAATATCAATGTTGTTGAAACAGCAATTCCTCTTTGCATCATTCTGAACAATCTCAATGAATGTGGTAAGTCCTGTAATACAAGATGCAATTGCAGTTATTCCTGTTTGGCGTCTGAGGCTGGTACAGGCTGTGCCGACCTGCAGTTGAGCTGCCTCTCTCTTGGCTTGCTAAAGCTGACCTCAAATCAATTCTATCTGACAGCTGGACCAGAGACTCATGCTGTTCTGTCTCTGCCGACAGCTCAAAAGTGTCTTATACTCACCAAGGATGCATTTATTTAGTCAAAAATACAGTACACACAAAAAATGTGTGAAATATTATTACAATTTATAATAACTGATTTCTATTTTAATACATTTCAGGGCTCGCAAAATTTCAAAATCCCTGGTAGCCCTTCGGGCAGGTACTCTTCAGATTTTGGTAGCCCGAAAATTAATTTAGCTAGCCCAAATAAAGAAAAAGACCTTTTTTTTTTAAATATAGAAAATCAGATAGGAGTTTAAATGTCAATCAATAATATTTTCAATACACAAATATCAACAAATATGAAGGAAGGAATTTTATTTCACTATTTACAGGGCATCTGCAGATTTAAAAAAAATAAATTTAAGGCAATTTATGACCCATTTTAAGAGCTGCACAAGTAAAATGAACAGTATGAGTGGGGTTGGACAATGTCTGTGGTAACATACAGTACTGAGCCATAAAATTACATGATTTACAGTTCAGATACAGGTTTTCACAAAAACAAAAATCTTATACAACAGCATTTCTATGAAAAGGGATAAATCAAGCATATAAATTGTCAATTAATTGTCTTAATTAGTCTTAATTGTTTAGATTTTTAGAAGGCACATTAAATTCTTTCTCATTTACAACTCTATGTGTTTGATGCGTAAAAACATGAGTTGATATTTGCATTGCTCTGACGATAAACAGCAAGAAAGGCAAATTTATTCTCAGCCACGAGGTGGCGCTTTAGGAGCGCTGAAATATTGCGGTTTCCCCGGGAACGGCTGAACACAAAGCTGCTCTGCTCAGGTCAAATGAAATTAAAATGCCAACGACACATTTCTGAGGACAGTCGGTTCCCTTCAGATACATTCAAATAAAGACATCCGCGCCGCGTTTTTATATCAAAGCTGCTCTGCTCAGGTCAAATGAAATTAAAATGCCAACGACACATTTCTGAGGACAGTCGGTTCCCTTCAGATACATTCAAATAAACACATCTGCGAAAGGCAGATTGGGAAATTGGGAAAGACAATTAAGAGTCGCGATACGGCTGGATTAAACTTCGAAAGGCAATGATGTCGAATAAATAGGAGCGCTGCACACGGGTTTTACCGTCCCCAACTGTAAAACCTCTTGAAATTATAATGAAGACATTTCTTATACCATTTAACGCATTTAAAAATGTTCATGGCCTTAAGTTTGATACAACTCACTTTAGGAGTTTTTAAGGACCCGCGGGAGATCTACATTTAAGAGCCCATCGGGCAGAGTGGTGATACATTTTGGTAGCCCGACTGGAAAAAACAATAGCCCCGGGACGTCGGGCAAGCGATTTTGCGAGCCCTGCATTTTAAAACGCAATTTATTTCTGTGATGGCAAAGCTGAATTTTCAGCAGCCACTACTTGGGTCTTCAGGGTCACATGATCCTTGAGAAATCATTCTGTTATGCTGATTTCTGTTCAAGAAACATTATTTATTTCTTATTACTAAGATAATATTACTATTATTTTTACAAGAAACTCATTATTATCAGTGTTGAAAATGGCTGTGCTGTTTAAACTTTTTTTTCAGAATTCTATAAAGACTAAAAAATTCAAATGAACATCACTTATTTAAAATAGAAATATTTTGTAAAATTATAAATGTCCTACTGTCACTTTCGATCATTTCAATGTGGCCTTACAACTTTTGGACAGTAGTGTACACTTGTCAACAGGAGATTCTACTATGGCATCTGTAATGAAAACTTCTGCTTTGGTGTGATGCCGCCAATTTATATCAGTGTAAGGATAAATACCTCTGATCATGACCACTGACTTCCACCTTTTACTGTTGATAACATTTCTTAATGCTGAAATTTTTTTTTTGGCCAAACAGTGTCCCCAAGTGGAAATGCGAAAGTAAAGACTGACCCATCCTCTGCCTGTCATTGGTCAGTCAAATAGATAAGCCTGTCCAAATCTCATGCCATTGTTTGAACTAATGTTGCTATGTGTTTGGGCTAGTCTAGATGCACAAACAAACTGATCAATGTTTTGAGTGTCACAGAGACACAGTATTAAAATAGCAACCTCCTGTTGACATGTCTCTAACATTTGTTATTAATATCCTTTTTTCCTGAAAAAATTTAAAAGAAAAAGCAAACATAACAAACTTGTCTTAAGTAGCCTACACTGCTGTTTACTACTGTATGCAGTGTCTCGTTCCCTACTCAGGGGAATTTCGAACTGTGTCCTCTAGGGGTCGCTATGGGAAACGGTATACCCACGCCACCATGCTGAGGGGAGTGCATGCCAGAACCATGGCGAGCACTAAGTACCAACTCTACCATATTGCTATGGGAGTCACCCCTGGGACGTTAGATGGCTGTCAGTGACGTTATTCCCTATGGCCAAAGGCCTAGGCTACATACCCCAAATACTTACCTGTTAGGGCCAGACTCCTGGGCCCGGGGTAGAGCTCAAGGCTTGGAATCAGGAATAGATTCCTTTAAGGGAATACGACCAAGAGCCTAGAATCATACTAGTCTTGGCCTGCACGTTCTCTTTGTATGTGCTGAAGGAACTGTCTCAACAGACCCCTAGTAGCAACACCCTGTTAAAGTAGGTATCCAGAGGATACATAGGAGGAGTGGTGCCCAAGGCGGAACCGGGGTTTTAAACCACTCAGAAAGAGCAC